TATGTCTGAACCCATCAAGAGTGTTGGAATGTATAAGGATCTTGCATGGAAAAAGCTGAAAGTGATGATGTGTGAAAAACCCAGGTACACTTAAATTCTCCAAATTCCATCCCAAAACTAGTTCGGGCTCAAGTTCTTACCAGATGGTGAGCTTCAATTTTTCCTTCTGGCATGAAAATCCATGCGTAGGTAGTGTGCAGCTTTCCAAATATATGTATTAATTGTGTGCACTTACTGAAAATATGCAACTGTTCTCCGAAGCGCCCCTTTAGCAGGAAAAGCACCTTCTCCAGGGCGCTCAACAGCTACAGTCTCTAGACCTTCCACCCAACCGTTCAAAGGGCTGCTTACCCAACAGCGTACAAGTGATGCAGAGGGGCTCTCCAGCCGCAGCTCTGCATCTGCTGCTTGATCACGTGTTCGGCATAGCGGTAGGTGACTGTGCTGGGCTTGCCGATCAGGGCCTCGTACTTCAGCTCCTTGCCAGTCATTTTCTTGTAGATGTTCTCTAAACATACAAGAAAGGTGCCATGGCCAAATCTGATATGGAAGAAAAAGCCGTCAGCATCCTATGTATGTACTGGAACATAAGATGTTGTGGCAATACTGGATGAATGGAGAGGATCGACTTAACATGTGAGAAAATGTGAGGATGTTTAGCACAGATCGAAACACTGAAAAAAGAGCACCAGTACAGATATTTGAAATGTTTTGTGATTGCTCTTCCATGTACAGCTTTTACTGGCTTGCTATGCTGCTAAAGAATCAAGATTTATCCTTCCCTGTGTTGCTGCAGTGGTCCACCTCTACTTCCTGGTTCTTTATTCAGGAAAGTAGATGTTTCATCTGTGCCTAGAGTCTTAAAAGTGTTTTACTGATATTAATTACTGTGCTTCAAAAACATGCCCCCCTCTTTGGAAACTTTATAATCTCCAAGAGATTTGCTGTGAATTGGTTAGATGGGCTTGATGCAAAATTATGGAACAACAGTTCACCAAGAAATTCCACTCTACATCCTATGATTTAGACAAGGACAAAGGGTAACTGTTTTTTAATTACAAAACAACTTACCACTGCAATGATCTTTCTGCTACCTCCCACCATCTTGTTAAGGTAATTCTCACTCTCTGTACTTTTTTATTAACCTCAGTGGTTTCAGAGGAAGTAGGAGAGAGAATCGTAATGTGTATACAAATCTGTCAACATGAGGTTAATGCCATACATCTGATGAAGCAGATGTTGTCCATGAAAGCTTTAATACGGAGTCTAATCACCTGCACTGCATTTGGCAACTGCGGCAACCAAAAAGTTTGGGACATCTCTACAACTAGTGCAGCTACTGGAGCCACCACACCCAGGAAATAAGAGTGAGGTGCCCACCTCAGGTGGCAGAGCTAGAAGACCAGGAAGTTGTGTCGTGCTCCAAGCTCAGCTCAGTCCTAGCCTGATCATGCACCCTACACAGCCCTTCACGACCTTCAGCATGTGCTCCAAGAAGCCCACCAGCCACCCTCCCTCTGTGGCAAGAAAATGGTTGGCAGGACTATTCAGAGCAACTGCAAGCCACCCGCTGCTCTGGGATTCTCACGAGATCTTGGCCATATCCAACAACATCTCACAAGACCTCAGCTACGTGCTGCAATCGTGTGAGAGCCCAGTGCTGTTGAGCGCTTGCGAGAGTTCCCACATGGCAGCAAAGCGAAGGCAGCGAGTTTTCCAGGCTAGGAGAGAGTTGCACCGTGGTGACCAGGGCAAGAGGCAAGGTCTTTTCAGTGCCAGCACAACCTCTGCTTCTGCCAACAGGAAAGGCTCACCCCAGCCCAGCCAGCTGCTGTTCTGCTGTTACATCACCTTGGCATTTTGGCTTCTGCCATCCACAAAAGGTCCATGTTGCAGGCTAGGATAGGTAGATGTGGGTATGGCACAGTAGCCAGCTCTGTTCCTGGATTCCCATTGCTCAGAAGCACATCTGTGATCAGCTGCAAAGAGGTCTCCCAACGGATAGGCTCACCCAGCAGAAGTATTCCTAGAGATTGAGAGAGGTAGGTAAGTTTTACTTAAAGGTGCCTGTCTAAGATTCTGCGTGGTGTAGTAGCTAGGGTTGTGCTATGAGAGACCACAGCTATAAAGCTCACTGTGGGACTTTGGGACAGTCATGTACTTCGAGCCGAACCCACCTCACACGGTTGTTGTGAGGATAAAATGGGGAGGAGGAGCATCATGCCTCCCTGGCATTTATCAAGCACTTTGGGAAATGCATTGGCTAGAGAGTGCTATAATTTCTGCTGGACTCAAACTGTTCAGTGATGGTTATCATCAACAGGTATGTTCTATCCTAGAAAAATAGAATCTAATCTTTTTGACAAAGACTAGCTTCATTCAGGTACTATAGTGAAACTATGGTTTAGTATTTGGTGCCATGATTCAAACTCATGTAGCTGAAGCACCAAATGTCAGTCCTCTTCTTTAGCTAATCCCCTCAGTTTTATTAATTTGAGAATTTCAGTTCACCCCAAGGAGAAAGAAGATTCTTTTCCACATGTCCATATTTGTTGGTTTGAAGCAGAATTATATATTATTTACTTCATTTCTATACCGCCTCCCTCCAGCTGAAGCTCTCTGGATAGTTTATTGAGTCCATAAAAACAAATGATGAAAATACCAAAACGTTTCAGAAAAATTAGAAAACTTTAAAATGGAAAAATAGTCAAAAGAGATGATAACAACAAACAGTATAAAGAATATTTTTTAAAAGTTACTCTGTGGACACCTGGTGATTGCCCTCAAGTCCCTGGCTGGCTGCATAAGTCCTTAAAAGCCTCAGAAAAAAGGGCCGTCTTATCCTGGCACTGAAAAGGTGAAGGATTGGATGCCAGCCAGGCAGCAGTGGGAAAGTTATTCCACAGACGGGAGGCCAGAACCGAGAATGTCCTCCTCCTAGTGGCCACCTTCCGCACTTTCCTCAGTGTTTGTACTTGCAGGAAAGCCCGAGAGGTTGAGCGTGTTGTTTGAGTAGATTGTGACGGGGAGAGACACTGTGACAGGTCTTGTCGTCTCAAGCAGAGAAGGGCCTCCTAGGTTAAAACCAGCTCCTTGAACTGGGACCAGAAGCACAGAGGTAGCCTATGCAAGTGGGCCAGAACTGGTCTTATATGTTCAGACCTGCAGGTTCCAGCTATTAATCTGGCTACCACATTCGGTACCAGCTGCAGCTTCTGAACCACCTTCAAGGGCAGCCCCACATAGATGCATTGCACCGATCTAATTTAGAGATTGCCAGTGTTCGTATATTACTGAAGCCAGGCTATCCCTGGCCAGGAGGTGGCCCCAGATGGGCCATCAAATAAAGCTTGTGGAAGGCCTCTAAGCCACTGATGCCACCTCACTCTCAGGTACTAAGATGGGCAAGCAGCACTCCCAAACTATGAGCCTGCTCCTACAGGTGGAGTGTGACCCCATCAAGAAGAGGTTGAACACACCCCATTCAGTCGAAGGAACCACCCACCAACAGCATTTCAGTATTATCTGGATTGAGTTTCAGTATGTTGGCCCTCATCCAGTCCATTGTTGTAGCCAAGCACCTTGTCCACATCCTTGAACTATACCAACTCAAGCACATCCAATAAAAACAGATAAAGCCGTGCTCTGGATTTCTCCACAGATTCAGCTCTTACAACTCGGAAGTCCAAGTCCTGGCAGTTGCAAGAGATTTTTTTCCTGGAAGTGCCTAGTGAGTAAACTGCAGTGGGCCTGAGCTGGTTCCAAGAGGACCCTAGGGTCAGAATATAATAAGCCCCAGATAACCTTGAAAAGCACCACTGGGTGGCAAAGAACGGGTTGGATGGAGGCAGTGAGGTATTGCTTCTTTTCCACCCTGACTGCCTCAAAGTATACTCGATTGTAGGCACATACCAGGTTTCGGTTGCATTCACTGGGAATCCATCTCACATGCATTCTTATAAGAGAAGGGAGGGAGATTACCTACCTTCTATAGTGGGGAAATCAATTGTTGGAGGAGGCTGTCGAAGGACAAAAGAAAAATTAGTTTGCAGTAGCTGGGAATGGGCAAAGAGTTTCCAAGACCAAATGGTGATGCTTAGTATCAAAGGGTTCTTTGGAGCATGTGACCAGTTTTGAAAGAAATTCAAGGGTCTCTAAAAGATTTTTCTCAATAATTTTATCCTAATTACTGCTACAATTTCACTTTCCAGCTTGCAGAACTTTTCTATTTAATATGCAAAGAACCAAGGGCTGCTCCACTTTGTACAGGAAGACATTCCTACAGATAGACACTCCATTCTAGCAGATCAGGGTATATCAGCATGCCCAGAAACATAGGGCCAGATAGACTGGTGTCACCCCGATCTATATCCACATGTGTCGTCCCGCAATTACTGACATTCCTCTATGAGAAGAAAAGTGTGAAGAAGTCTTCCAATTGCATTCACTTGAGCACAGGTAGAACCCTCCATAATACAAAGAGGCCCAGTAAGGCAAGGTGCTTGACCACATGGAGGCCTGTGCTCACATTCAGCCGAACATGAGCAGAAGCTCATGCTCAATGGAGGGATGCTGGGCACTGAGAAATTATGAACACTGGGGCCAGGGCAGCATGTACAGTCCATGCACTTTAATGATCTGCAGCAGAATATTTCTTTAATAGATTATATACAACTGAATTTATTTAAATGGGTCTTTAATTGGTACCTACAGCATGATACAGGTGGCATTTTCCAAATACCGAGGGGACAACTTCACACAAGCAGCGAGGCCTCCTTCAAGAATCTTATTGCTCTCACAGGTCTGTACTGCGGAAGGCAATCGGCCAGGAACCTGGTCCCAAGCTATTCAGGGCTTTATGTGCTAACAGCAAGTCTCAATAACTAATAGGTAGCCAGTGCCGTAACTGGTAGAAGACATGCTTCCTCAGGCACTCCACTCAGCATCCTGGCTGCCACATCCTGTAGCTGCAGTTTCCAGACCAGGTCCAAGGACAACCCGACAAGCACATTACAGTAAACCAAATGTGAGGTTACCAATGCACGGATTGCAGTGGCCGGACTACCCTCATCTAAGAAAGGGTTCAGGTGGCAAACCAACATGAATTGGTAACTGGTGCTCCTTGTCACAGAAGCCACAGTCCTGTTCTTCCTCAGAGAATGCAACCCTATCCAGAACAGGCACACCTGCTAATTTCCTGGAAACCACCAACCCAGAGACTCCACCTTGTGAGGATTCGGTCTCGTTTTGATGGGCCTCATCCAACCCAGGGCTGCATCCAGGGACCTGTTCAGAACATGTCTGGCTTTTCCTGATTCAGATGTCATAGAAACAGACAAATAAATAAATCAGCATACCAATAGCAGCTTTCCCTAAAATTCCTAATGACCACCCCTGGCAGCTTCCTATAAAAGCAAAATACTTCTGCTTCAGTAATACTCCTTGATAGCAAAAGTGACACCACACAAAGGCCTTCGTTCATTCACAATTTCCTGTAATCAGGCTAAAATACTTGCCAGCTCTTTTGGCCTCCGGCTTTGATCAACCATATCCAGTAAAGGAAATGCCTTCCTCACGTTTTCAATGGTAACAACATGTTGGAACCCCAGGCTATTTGAGATGGTCAAGGAAGAAAGGCTTGTGTCCACTGCAGATGGAAATGCGCGAAGTAATCGCAGGAAGTCACAAAAAACTTACATGGCAGCTATCCCATTCTTCAAAATCTACCTCTGTCCCCCACAGCTGGCCAAAGACAGGCCAAAACACAATGCAAATTATTTTTATTTATGACACCTCTTCTCCAAGGAGCCCAAGGGAATGCACATGGTCTCCTCCCTTCCTTTTTATCCTCACAACAAACTTGTGAAGTAGGCGAGACGGAGAAACAGCGACTGGCCCAAGGATGTGCAGTGAGCTTCATTGCCAACCACGGATTCAAACGTGCACTGCAATTCAAAATGTGTGAAGGGGCAAGAGAAATCCCACAGCTCAGAATTTTATCCCATGCAAAGTTTTTCAAGTGCTAGAGTGCCCCACCCTATACCATTTCACTAACCAGCATGCCCCATTGACAAACATCAAAAATAATTGCTTTGGGAAACAGAGGTACTAAATTTCAACATCTGCACAAGCATATAGAAAGCCATGCTATTCTTTCCTCCCCTTCTCTTTCAAAATACGGAAATCCTTTTTGATGGACAAAATACTTAAGTGTCCACTTTTGGGATTTGTAACTAAAATGGAAGCCTTGTGCTAGATATGTACGAAACTTCAGTAGAGCTCCATCATTGTGGTGTAGAAGTTAAGACTTGGGTAAGGGAAGCAGGAGCAGCTTTTTCTGCACAGCTCATCATTTCTACCAATTCTTAATACATTCCAATCATCAAAATCATGCCAGGACAACTCGTTTCTCCAACCCTAACCCTATGCTACAACACGTACCAAACCCTAATATAGGGCAAAAGTTCCATAGAAAATGATGCCATTTTGAAAAAAGCTTTCCTACAGCAGCCTTTTCTGCGCAGCTCATCATTCCTGCCCATTCAAAATACATTCGAACCAATAAAATCATGCCAGGACACCTCATTTTTCTAACACTAACCCTACCCAGGGGCACACCTCTACCTTAACATAAGACTAAAGGAGCACTAAAAATAATGAGATATTGAAAAAGCATTCTTTGAGGAGCTTTTTCTGCACATTCCAAACATCAAAATCATGGCAGAACAACAAATTTTCATAACCCTGGTGCACACCCCTAACCCTAATATAGCGCCAAACTTCCACTGAAAATGATGCAATTTTGAAAAAGGCTTCCTGGAGGAGCTTTTTCTACACAGCTCCTCATTTATGCCCGTTCCAAACACATTCAAACCATCAACATCATGCCAGGAAACCAAATTTTCGAAACCCTAATCCTATACTGGTGCACACACATAACCCTAATATAGGGCCAAAGCTCCACTGAAAATGATTCAATATTGAAAATCCCTTCCAGGAGGAGCTTTTTCTGCACAGCTCATCATTTCTGCCCTTTCCAAACACATTCCAACCATCAAAATCATGCAGGGACACCAAATTTTCGAAACCCTAACCCTATCCTGGTGCACACCCATAACCCTAATATAGGGCCAAAGTTTCATTGAAAATGATGCAATTTTGAAAATCCCTTCCTGGAGGAGCTTTTTCTGCACAGCTCATCATTTGTGCCCATGCTAAATAAATTCCAACCATCACAACTATTCCAGGACACCAAATTTTTCCAACCGAAACCCAGAGATGGTGAACCTTTTACAGACCGAATTCAACCCAAAATACACTTATCGCAAAGTGCCAACACTGTACAACCTGAAAACTGAGGTTTTATTTTAGAAAAAACAACTCACAGTCAGTTCAAGCAAATATACGTATATCCTTGGCAGCTCACTGACCTGCCATACATAATCGCAGACGAGTCGCGGCTAATGAGTTGCGGCTCATGATGTCATAGCCTGGCGCTACGACTCTTTTCCATGCACATTGGCCCCTGTGTGTGCTGTGATCTGATGCTTGGCTGCTGGGGCAAGGCTTGGCTCATGTGCCAACAGAGAGGGCTCTGTGTGCCTGCTGCTGCACGCATGCCATAGGTTCGCCAGCACTGCACTAGACATGCCAGAGAACTATGTGCCCTCTGGGCAGGCCCCCCACCACCTTCCACAGGGACAAGGCAGTGCTCTGACCATACCCAGCCCTCCTTCCCAAGGTCCTATCAGCATCCAACCTCAACCGGGACATTATCCCCTTAGCCTTCTTTGCTGCCCCTTCCACTCCCACGGAATCCACCCTGTGCTTACTGGATGTTTTGAATGGCTCCAGGACAGAATCCCTCCACCAACCGCTGAGACTCTTTGTAAGCTATGGTAGAACGAGCAAGGGAGAGCTGCTCTCAATTTAAAGACCAGTGATCTGGGTCACGAACACAATCTCCCTGTCCTGTGAGCTGGGTAGTCTGCAACTCACAGCCCCTCCAAGAGCTCACTCCACCCGAGCAATGGTGATTTCCACACCCCTCCTCATGGGAATACTCCTGCAGAACCTCTGCAAGGCAGCCACATGGCCCACGACCCTCAGTGTTTCTCAACCACTATAAGCTGGATGTCCATGCAAGAGCAGACTGCTTCTTCAGCAGAGCAGTCCTCTCCCCAGGCCTCCGGTGATGACACCATCCCTTCATCCTTTTCAAGGTAAGCTTGCTAGTTGCTCATATGCGCAATGCACAGAGACCACGAGGAAGAAAGTCAGGTTGCTGTCATTCTTGAAGTGGTCATCTGTGTATTTATTTATTTATTTTATTAAAACATTTTTATGCCGCCCCATTCGCCGAAGCCTCGGGGCGGCTCACATCAATAAATTAAAATAATTATAATATAAATTAAAATATAAATATAAAATTAAAATACAACAGTACAGTATAAAATAAGCCGCCCTGGCCAGTATTCACACAAACTGCCCACCAGTCCTACCTGGTGTTGACCCTCAGATCAATCATCCCCTCTTGCAGGCACAACACTCCTCCCTCGGTCCTGGAACCTCTAGGCTGTCTCAATGGAGCTGAGGGAATGGGTGTGAGTTCCTCCCACGAATACTTGGAGCAGGAAGGGGAGGGGCTCCCACCCAAACTAATGCTTAGCTATAGAGTCTTCCTGACAACAGGCTCCACACAGGCGCAGAACCCATATGTGTGATGCATGGAAACCATGAAGAAGAATCCTAGGCTACTTAGGAAAGTTGAAGTTGGTGAGAACAAGCATGCTTGCTTCTTCCTACATGCCCCCAAACAATCCATGGTTTGTTCATCATAGATTGTTTGACCATGCAAACTGGGAAGCAAGCTGGGCCAAGAATGAATGGCTTGACAAAGGTTATCAACTAAGTGTCACAGGATTTCAGCCTGGCTCCTCACATGGCTCACCCTATTTCCTACACAACACTGGCTTTCAACACATAGAAGGGAAGAAGGAAAAAGAAAGAAGAATCTGAAGGCAGAAAAGGATACTCTCTGGCATTCTCCTCCACAGGACCTTGGCCACACACAAGCACACACTTCTTATGGAATTGATGGAAAAGACGTAGTGGGCTGTGAGAGAGGATCACCCATTCAGGAGACACCTGAGGGGGGAAAGAAAGAAAGGTCAGCAGCATAGGTGCCCTACCCTTTCCACAAATAATACTCCCAACTGCCAGGTCCTTTAGCCTGCAAGTTACCAAAGACATGACGTTGATGACAACAGTGAATTAATCCCACAGGAATGTCAACACCTGTCCTCTTCCTCTCAGACATTAGATACTAACAAGAATACCATGAAAGTCACCTTGAGTAGAGACATGCTTGGATAATATTTCAGCTTGAACAGAAGGAACATAGAAAAGGCCTGAATGAGTGACAGGAATGCATAACACATGTAATCCTTTCCCATCCACTGGGGTTGGGTTCACATACTAATGACAGTCACCTAATTTTTAGTGGATTTGCAAACTGCTTCCATTATACTGTATTTTAAGTAATATGAAAGCACCACACGTATTAATTGTGCCTTCCAGAGTGTACCCCGTCTGCTTCAAGTAAAATATCTCAGACAGACTAACACTAAAAACAGCGTAAAAACACAGCATAACACAGGAGCAGCTGGGGAGAAAAAAACACCCCGTGACCCAGATTCACACATTATATAAAACCGTGGTATTCAACAGGACTGAGCTAACACAGTCAGAAGGACATCAGGCTCAGGACCAAGGGAGGCTCCATCAGAACATCTTCCTTGAGTTGGGACTCAGTTATTGAAGGGTCCCAAACAGGTGACAACCTGCTTGCCTCTGAAGAGTGCAAGCAGGTTTACATGGTAGGAAAGAGTGGTTCTTAAGGGCATTCAGTTCTCAAACAAAGAACAAGTTTACTATACAATCACTTCCCAGGCTTGGGATATTGTTTTTTAGAAACAGTCAGTGGGGGTAGTGGGCATGACGATGTTGACCATCTGCTCCATTGTCCCACGGGCCACCTTTTCTGAGGCAATTTCCAGTATCTTGCTTCTGTTACAGCAAGTGGGACCTTTGGGGGCATGACTTGGTGGGAGAATCTCATACACCTGCTGCAATCTCAGTGTGGATCACTTTCTCACTTTTTTATTTCTAAAAGGCTTATGAGAGAGACATGATCATATAGTAAGTGTATTCAGGGCTGGACATGTAATAAGCTGTGAATTCTGACTTAGTAATGAGGAAGTATATTGATGCATATTCTCGATCACCCCCACTTGGGTCCTTTTGCCAAGGACAATAGCTAGGAAAACCAGGATATCTTTAGTACTGGCTTGTTTAGGTTTAAAATTAAACCAAGAATCTTGGCTTCCTACTCTCCTAACAAGCCACAGCATTTGAAGCCAAAATTTGTCCTTGGCCTCTGATTTTTTGTTGCATCCAATCAAGTGAGAAATCCTGGTTTGGATACATCACTAAACAAAGAAGTACTAGATTTTCTTGTTTAGCCCAGCCATCACCAGCTTGGTTTCCTCCAGATGTTTAGAAATACAAATCCTAGGATTCCTGGCCCATGGCCAGGTTGGCTGGGCTGAAGAAAGCTACATCCCCTTGAAGGCACCAGGTTGAGGAAAGCTAGTATAGCCACTCCTGCTTGTAGGTTGAGCCAATTGAAAGCAACTGGCACCATGCACAAGCCCACTTCTCATTACCACTAAGCCAGAATTCTCCGTAATTGTGGCTCATGTATGAACTGGGCCATCTGCTACTGTGAAACAAATGGCTAGCAACTATGTATGCAACACACTGTGTAGAAGGGCTGTGAAACCTACAACCAAAAAAAGAATATTTTCTTTCTGTAAGAATCCCCCACAAAACATGAATCTTTTTTATAACATCTGTAGAATTCTAACTTCACAGTTTACAAACACAAGTCAATGATCCAAAGAAACTTGAGGTGCTTTCAGTACCTTAAATCCAAGTGCTTCCGACAATTCTTCAGCCTTGCTGTCCCGAGAGCAGTTTCCAGCATTGGTTACGAATGCAACCGGCACACGGAACTGGCCCTTTGAATCTGTCAACTTCTGGAAGGCCTTCTTGGCAGCAGGAATGACTAACCGACCTCGTAAAAGCACTCCATCAATATCAAAGAGAAATCCAAAGGAGGGAGAAGTTGCCTAAAGTGGACAAAGAGTCAAATGAGTTGGACTATGAAATTTTGCTTTTTTAGGAATAACAGTGGAGAGAAGGCATGAACATTAATAGCTCTAAAAGGGACTATCCTCCACCACAGAAAAGAGAATACAGAGTCATTGCCATTCACCAATCCTTTGTTTAACACATTTTAATCCCAGCTCATTGTGTTGTTCTTAAGCTGCATAAGCCTAACAGTAAAAATGTAGAAACAATACAAAGCTAGTGCAGCAGCTGAAAGGACCTCCAACTGAAAACAGCAAGATGATTTGCTTGAAACTCATAAACTCCACAAGGCCTACTCAAACAGTCAGGATTTTACGCAGCTTTTTAAAGACCAGGAATGAGGTATATTTCCTAATATTCAGAGGGAAATCATTCCACAATCACTGTGTAACCACTGAAAAGGCCTTGCTTGGGATAAGGAATGAAACCCTCAAAAATATTACCTTAATAGATATATACAGTGCTTTTTTTGTAAGAAAAAAGGTGCCAGAACTCATGAAATTATTTACCTTTTGCACGTAGTCAATCACTGTACACACACCCACACACGTCAGTTGTGTAACGAAATGTAATGGTCACCACCCGCAGTAAGCACTCAGCGAGCGACCACACAACCAATCACAAGCCGAGCAGTGCCATCACAACCAGCGCGGACGAAGCACACATGCATCAGATTCGACACACAAGCAGCCTGCATGCACTGTTTTAATGATTTTGTCGCCGACCTGCTACACTCGACAGGGCAATTCAAATTCACATGGACCAAACATCAAATTTTCAAAAGTTATTTTTAAAACTTGGAAAATCTGTCGAAAAACGGTGCCGGAACTCTGTTCCGGTGTGTTCTATGACAAAAAAAGCACTGGGTATACAATATCTCAGTGCCACCTGGAGATAGGCACTGAGATATTATATACAGCAAAGATCTGTGGCCTTTTTGACAGACGAACATGCCTGTTCAGAGTCCACTGCTGGTCACAGGACCATCCATAGCTGACCATGTTACTTTACCATATGAGTTGCATGTATGATTAACAAGAACACAGTACTCAGTCTGACTTAAGAAAAGAGAATGCACTCTCTTAGGCTGCAATGTTAAGCATACCTCCAAAGAGTAAAGAGACCTCCACATGAACAGAATTAAGGACTGGCTTAATTTTACTACACCAAGATGATGTAGGTCTCCAAATATATCACTCCAGCACTAATTCTGAGATATGTGGGGAAATAGGGGTGAGCGTAGATAACCAGTTGAGTAACTGCTATCCAGTTGCAGGGGAACTGGATTTGACTACTACTTGCTTGGCCTGTGGCATGCAGTATGCTGAATTTGTGAGTTCATTTCGAGCATTTAGCATACAGAAACTTGATCCTTGTGTGGTGTTTTGAGGGACCAACAGCACATCTAATCCTTCAGTATTTGCATTTTTATGCCCCCATCCCATGGAAAACAGCTTTACAGCCCCACAAAACACATATAAATTTATTGCAACCAATGTATTCATAGGTGGGAGCCTAGAAGAACACCAGATTTGTTACTTCCTGTTAGCATTTCTTAATGTATTTGATAAATGTATTACTGCTGAAGTACAGCAGGTCTGGAATATAGTTCTGGGATGTTTATTTATTAGATGTATATCCTGACTTTCTCTTTTTTAAAGAACTCAGAGCGGCTTATATCATTTTTCTGCTGCTCTCAATCTTATCCCCACAACAACCCTGTGAAGTAGGTTGGTCTGAGAGTCTGTGACTGGCCCAAAGTCACCCAGTTGGCTCCATGGCTGAGCAGGGACTAGAACTCAGATTGCCTGAGTTCCAGTCCTGTGCTCTTAACCACTACCCCACACTGGCTGTAATGCATAACACACATACCAGTGTTAAGCTCTTTAGTTTTATTTTAAGCATTTGCACATTTTACTGCTTTTTAGGCTTCCCAAGACAGTTTATCATAACTTTTAAAAATACAACAAAATCCAAACAATCTGAAAACCAGCAGAGCAGCAACCAAGATATAAAGGCTGCATCTTGTCTAAGGATTTTGAGAATATATATTTTTTAATCTGCTAAAACAGCACAGCATAAACGGCCATCAGAAATCCATAATCTGGATGTCACCACAAGGACCCCTGCTGCTACAGTCTCCCCCTGCATAGTCTCCTAGCTGAACCATTTTTACAGGTAAGTTCAAAAGGGTGCAAAGGCTCCCCTGGCAGCCTTTTGAATTCCACTCAGAAATAAATTGGAAGCCACTAAAGTTACTTATGCACTGGCAAGATCCAATCTGTTCTATCCTCCTCAGCCAATAGTGGAGCCACTACATTTTGAACCAGTTCTAACTCTGAACCCCACAAACAGCACAACGCAATAGTCTAACTTGGAAGTCCCCAAACTACAGGTGTCACACTATTATTTACCACTTGTAGCACCCATCACATTTCTGGATGATTATGTACCAGAAGGCAGCCAAGTCTAGAACCCAGTAGACTCCAGATATGCTCAACACCAGCGCCTATCATCCCCAGTCAGCATGGCCATTCGTGCCAAGGACAATTGTGATAGGAGGTGTAGTCCTGCATATCTAGAGGGCGCCAGTTCGAACGCGCCTTACATGCACCATACGCCTCCAGGTAGCACCCTCTTTTTCCATTTCCAGGTCGGCCAAGTCCCCGGCGAGGGCACACTGATCGAGGGAAGCGGAATGCGCGGTAGAAGCATCCCAGCAAGGTCAAGGGGAGCACTGCACCGATGAGCCAGCCAGCAGCCAGGTTTGATCCGACTCCCTCCCAAAGGTCACTACGAGGAAGGAGGACCAAAGTGCACACGCGCTGGGCAGGAGATCAGCGGCTTCACTCACCTGGTTCCCTTGGGGTTCTCCCCCCGAAGAGCGGCGGTGGCTCCCACTCCTGTGCGCGGAGCGGCTACTGGTGCCAGGGCGTCCCGCGCCCGGCAGCGGCCACCGCGTCAGCGCTGCTCTGCCCGAATGGCACAGGCAGCGCAGAGCCATCCGCACGCACGCACGCACGCCCGCCGCGGCTCTTCCAGTCCAGGCGACGGCCGCATACCCGCCCCGTGCTCCTCTTGCGCAGCCAATCGAAGCCCCCAAAACGGGGGTCACGTGAGCAGAGGAGCGCGGAGGCTCGGGTCGGAAGTGAAAGAAACGGCAGCGTCCAGTTTCCGAAGGGCGAGCGGGCAGCTTCAGCAACGGGGCGCTTTGTCACGGTTTTCCGCGGGGTAGCCGTGCTTGTGTCACGCTAGGACGCAATCCTAGGCGTGCTTAGACAGAAAAAAAAAATAAGTTGTTCAGCTGCTAGCATGGCCGGCAGGGGCATGCCAGGGTTTGTAGGATTTTTTTCCTCTAGGATTGCGCTTAAAGGCCAGAACGTTTTTATTTAAGCCAGCCTTCCCCACTTAGTCCCCTCCAAATATGCTGGACTACAACTCTC